TGTGCTACTTAAGGAGTGTCCTATGGAGATACAAACTCACAGCCGCAACAATAGGGAACGCAAGGTGTGCATTGCATTCCTTAACCAAGTTTGTATGTTGAAATAGGGGGGGGAGCGGCATCATCAAAAGAAAAAATTAAGTAAGTTTTTATTCGAAAAAAATAGAAAATTAACATATTAATGTTATGTTTAGATATTCTATAAAAATTGCGTTACCTGTTAAATATTAACTAGGTGGGAATCTCGACATAACACAGTTTTCAAACTAAAATATTATTGTTACAGTGATGTTTTAAAATCTTCAATACTTTTTACAAGTGACAATAAAGATTTATGAAGTGGATGAAAATCAAATTATTGATGATTTTGCTAATCAAAGGTAAGAAAAATATTTTTTAAAGTAATTTTGTTTACAAATTTCCAGGAGGTATATCAGAAAATGTTGTTTGTACATTTTTTAAATTAAATTATTATAGTTATATACAATACACATTTTTATAATTATATTATTATATTATATTATTATTATTTTCTATATATATTCAAAACTTTGATGTATTCGATCTCGTATACTCATATATGTTCATATTTATATTATATAAATAAATTATACTCTATTATTATACCTATTACCTTATTATTGTATGTATATAATTTTCTAATTACTTGACTTAGTGCAGCAGTGTGCTTAAATGAGGAACATTGTAAAATTTCAAATAAACTTGTTACTTAATAGGTAGATACATACTTTTTGGATTTATTTAATATTGGGATCATTTTTTGTATGTAGAAAGGTAAGTGCCAATAAATCACATAATTTTTACAAAACGATGGCCATTTTAATTCTTGTATTATTTGCTGTTTCTTAATAAATTGTAATTATACAAGTATTGTATGTATATATATATAGTATTAAAATCAGTAATCTCAAGGGAACAAAAACAAGTTCAATTATAAAGGCTAGTTAGGACATGTAGGAACAATAGTGTAAATAAAGCTTTTATATAATTATACTATACCTACAAGTATTTGTGTCCCTTAACATTTTTCGCATCAAGGCCCCACAAAGTCAATAGTTTCGAAACTTTACAAACTTCTGTTTTTCAAATGAGGACACCCCTATTCAACTATACATTATACAGTAGATAATTTTTCTGAAATTTTTGACGTATCAAAATCAAAATTCGTGCGAGTAGTTTTTGAGTTATTTAACTTTTTATTCTAAGGGTAAAAGGTCTATAGTAATGAGTTAATAAGATAAGGGGGCTAAGGTAATTTTAAAATTGTAGTCATTTGTATTAATCTATGGATATAATCCCAATTTGATAAAATGGTCCAAGTATAATAAATACTAGAAGCAATTTTACGTTTATTTTATATTTATGTAAAACCAATTTTAAGAACTATTATCCTTAATACAAACATTTTGATAACTAAGAAAGTCATTAATATTTTCAATTGGTACAACAAAATTTTCAAAAAAAATAATCCATTTATTAATTTATAGTACTCATTTCATGATTCTCATTTAAAAAACAGAAGTATGTACATTGTACCACTACAGGACTCTCCTTAAATAGTAAAAAATATTGCCTTAAAGTATATTTAAACATTTAAAAAATCAGATTTTGATTAACTACATTATTGAAGAAAAAAAGGTGATGAGCTTGCTTAGTGAATCACCATGTATAATTTATATTATAATATTTTATAGTTTTAATTTTCGTCTGCAATCATCTTTTAAATTATAATGTTAGATCAGGAAGGTACCTGATAAATTATATACTAAGTAGGTATATATTAATAATTTGCAAATGGTGTGATTTTACTAAAAACTAAAAATAATGGTTTTATATAGATAGGTATTGTTTGTATTTTTAATTTTTTAATTCTAATAACATTTTTTTTTTTAAGTTAAATACTTGAATTGTGAAAACTTTTTTGTACGTTTTTTAACCTTAATCTATCATACAAAATTATGTACTGTGCATTTCTATACACATAAATGTCATAATTAACAATATATTTTGATAAAACGTAGGCTATTTCTCGATTTGCAGTACACAAATTTAAACTCATAATATAATTGGGTATTGTGTATTTTTGCAAAAGCTACTAGCAAAAAATTGATTGTATAGTAGCTATATATACACATTAGGTACACACGAAATGAGTACCTATACGTATTGCGTTCAACCATTATACCAGACAAATCGATTTTTGCCCCAGAGTTCTTATTCAAATATTACGTTCAAAATATATAATTTTCCTAAATAAACTCCAATATAAATAAGTTATGAATGTTCGATGTTGGCATGTTTTTTGGCAATAACTCAAAAACGACTCTAGTCCTCGTATGTCTCACTAATCACAATACATGCATACAACTTAAAATTCTTTTTAAAACGTTAAGACATTTTTAGGTTTTTAAAAACAAATCAAACATTCTAAAACTGTTAGTGTAGGTAACAATTTTTAACCTATTATTATTTGTTACTTTCTATAATTAAAATCCAAAGCCATAGCTCGAAGGGAAATTGGCATTATTCGTAGGTAAACATACAAAAAGTTTTCTTGAAAATTGTATTTATAAATACATATTATACATATAGGTATATACTCATTTAGGATGAGAGGCGTAGAAATAAAATATCTACGTATCTGCCCTCTACACGCAATGTGATTTTTGATAATTAATTATATGGTACTACTAAGTACTAGTAGTATATTATACTACTGCCTATTTACTTTTGATGTAAACATACTCCAAACAAAATTTGTTTTAAAAGATATTTACCCATATCAATTTGATTTACATTACAATAGGTACATAAATATAGGTAGTACATTTTTTAGTTATAATTTACGATAGTATAATGTACCTAGGTAAGACATATAAAACTTACACCTATAACTTTTACATACAGTACAGGCTATTTAATTTGTCTCGTGGCCGCCCAGCACCCTATGAAGTCACAGCCCACAGGTATAGGTACTTCGGATTTCACTCGTCATTTTTTTTTCACATTCAGTAATTAAAATATTTTTTTTGTATCGTTAAATAAAAAAATATTTAAAACCAAGCATAAAAAAAATGTTTTTTATTTGGGGGGGGGGGTTTGTATATCTCTGCAATTAAAATCAAATTATTTATATTTTGTAGGTATTACTCTTAAATATTGTGCCACGACTGCAACAGCCTAAGTAGGTAAATATTTAGAGCATATTGTGAATTTAATCAAGTAGGTAAATATACTTGATACCGATTAATATTGAACATATTATAATATGTAAATAGACAATACAGGAAAGACCGGGGCAAGTTTGCTACAGTAGTGAGTTGACACACATCAAACCAAAATTATAAAACGTATATGTATGTTGGCCACAACGCAACACATTATAATCATAGGAGTAAATTTGATTAAAACCCTGGAGGTGGGACTAGAAATATAAATTAACACGTACCTCTTAATATAATTCATTAAACTTGCGAGTTTAAGTAAGGAATTACTATGGAAGGGCTTAAGGAGTTTTAAGGGGCGTAGCCCCCTAAGGCCCCCCCCCCCATTTCAACATAGCCTATGATCACAATAAATAATATTTATAATATGATAAATATTTATTTACCATTATCAGAAATGAAACCAAAATAGTTGTGATTCACAATTTAATAGTTGGGTATCTAAAACCGAGGAGTGATTTAAATACCTCTACGGCTCCATGCATTATCAATAGATAATATACAGATACTATACATCTTATAGTGACTCGTCACGCAATCATAATATCCATAGGCTATAGTCGTGGCTTACACAGTATTTTTGAGTTTTGGGAAGTCAATTTCGACATTTTTTTAAAAAAATGTATTTAATGTAAAATAAAATATTTTAAAATATTATAAAGATTATACCATGAATAGAAAATGCTACCGTAAACATTTTGATAAAAATCAAGGCATCATGTGTCTATAGTTATTTGATTTTGAATTACAACAAATATAATAAAAACCCTTGAATTTTCGAATTTTATTTTTATTTTCCTAATTATAAAAAAAAGTACTAAAAACTGTTTACTTATTTTTTTCAACTATAAAACTGTCTTGACACAAAAAAAAATACATCATTATAAAATCATTACAATCATTGCTTCGTTCAAAACCTAAAACTATTAATTCGATTAGATGCAGATGAATTGCGATGTACTCGTAGTTATTGAAATTATAAATGTCATGAATCGTGATACATCGAATGACGAATAAACTGCAATAAATTGCAAAATTAGGTATTACCTACTTAGTAAGTATCTACTTACTAGTTTCCTAGTAGTTACTAGTTACTAGTTAGTACCTACATATTTATTAAATATATACCTGTACGATATAGGTACCTACCTATTCGGTATATAAATGATAATCTCTTTTACGTTTAACGTGAATAGAAAATGCAAATAATGTATCATAACTTGACGTGATGTCGAATACTTATTATTATACTAATTTAAACATTTGACTATTTGACGATATTGCACCTATTAAAGTATTAACATGTAATCGTTATAGGTACATAAACATACACAATACATGTAGTATAATAGGTACCTATTAGGCATGTATATAATATATTGTATAACTTAAACTAGAATAATTTGCAAACACATGATAATTTGTATTCACTGAAAACCAATTAGTTAGGTAGGTAGGTAAGTACCTACTTTCTTGTACCTATAGGTATATAATATATTAAATTAAAAATAAGATAACACACACTATATTTTTTATTGTTTTATTAGATTCTATAAAGTGTATAAATATATAGACATATGTATAATGTATATTAATTCAAATACTCTGATACCAAAACTTATGCTATTTTACAACATTCAACTACAGACGCAAGTATATAGTATAGGTATTGCTAATATTATCGTTTAATGTTTATAATAATATTATTATACCTTACACAATTATTACAATATAATAATAATTTATACTCGATCTATTATTAAAAAATTGCCGTTTAATAATTTGATCATTCATGTATATAATTCGAGCTTCAATACAATTAATGGACTTTTGGCAACACATAGATACTCGCATAAAACTTTCGAAAATTAAAAAAAAACCCACAAAATAAAATGACGTTTGATCTCTATAAACGCGAGAACAACTTAATGGAAATTTTAGAACCATTTAACAGCTTATAATAATATATGATCAATTGCAATCTACAATATTATATTATTATAGCATATCACAATATGGTATACCACCTATATTATATATATATATATATATATATATATATATATATAGACTATACTGATTTATTGGGTAAGATTAGGTAGGTAGGTACCTATTATATTCTATATTTAATGCACTATGTGCCTACTAGAAAAGTGTAATGAGTGAATATAATATTATGAAATTTGAAAGTAAAATCTTAAACAAAATCGTAAATAGATAATATAGGTATAATATTTATAAATATATGTGTGTGGGTAGGTAATGTGTAACCTATATTAATATATCAAATATAAAGATGGGAGATCATAATATTATTATTTTACTGCGAATCGATGTCTTGATAGTTGACTACGTGGAAAGAGTCCATCCGTCCAGAAAACGCCGAGAAAGTTTTCGTGTGGCTCGAAACACTCCGTTTGAATACTGAAAACAGATATGTTTAAAATATATTTCACACAATTGCCTACGTTGCCACTATAGGTACCCATCACATTGATTGACAAACAGTGTGCAGATTAAAAATTATCAGTACTGAGTCCAAAACATTCAAATATGATGATAGTACCTATAAATAATACTATACCCATGATAAGTATAATGGTAAGTATAATGTTAATAATTAGTAATTAGTAATTACCCAATGCCAGATGGTGACGTTTTATGGTACAGTAAGTTGTAGTTGCGTGGTTATTAGATTTCCTTTTATTGATTTCCTTCGACCGTTGTATTTATAAAGAAAACTAGGTAAATGCATTTCAGAGAGCACTTCAAATATAACGGAGGGTATACCTACATATATCTTATAGGTTAACCTCCTAACTACCTACCTATATTTAAAGTGCTTGTCTATCCTTCCCCCCCCCCCCCCGTTCAAAAAACCGGAAACGGGTAGGAACTGTTCACATAGGCGAAACTAGGATTTAATAGTTACAGGGGCAAGAGTCCTAGAAAACTAATGTTCAAAATAACTTTGGGGGCCTCACACCTTAACCGCTATCCTCTAAAATCAAAATTAGAAATAAACAATAAAATGAAAGTATAAACTCATCATTAAAAACAAAATGTAAATAAGTACAATATATATTATAGGGGGCTAAATACACATATAGAGGGGCTAAGCCCTCATAGTAGCACCTATGACTGTTTATAGCACAATACTGCCACAGTGCCACCCGGTTCCGTATCGTTTGAAGTGCTTGTCTATCCTATACTTACGCGTAATACAAAAATATAATGTAACTACATAATGTGACAATAAACCGAATTTCTGATAAATAATGCTAAATAAAACCTTCAAAATTGATTTTAGACGAAAAACACATGTCAAAAACGAAAGACTACGGCATTTCCAGCGGTAGACCATCATGATATTTTCAATTCTAGAAACCTAGGACAATGCACATTACTTTCAAAATGTTTGGCCTGTTATGAATATATATATATATTATACATAATATACTGAACTCAAGCACTTCAAGTTGAATCTCGGCGGCTGAGCATAACAAATAGATACAGTCCTATCGTCTGAAACCTAATAGAATGAATACAATTTCTTAAAAAAGCCTATACGCAAATGAGAATTACTACACTGCCCGGAGTTTATGGGTAATATTATATCTATATGAGTAGGGCATATAATTGCGTATAATTATAGTTAAAGGCTTCAGAGCCGGTGCGTTTTTAGTACAAAAACATGGCTCACAAAAAAACTATTACGCCCTGTTGAATAGTCGGATTTCGTTAATTTTTATTTATTTAAAAGAAGAGAACATTTTGTAGGTCAGATCAGCCCAATTTTCAAAATTGTAATTGTAGAATCTAAAATATGTATTTGAATAATGCACAATATTTGTTATTTTTCAAACGTATTTTTCTAGCATTATTTAAAGTAAAATGAAAATTTGGGCTCCGAGCCGGCCTGAAAACAGTTCTCCTTTTAAATAAAAAAAATTAACAAAATCCGACTGTTCTACGGGACGTTAGAGTTTTGCCTGTGAAGTCATTTTCGTTGATATAATACAGTAATACACCGTACGACCCCCCTTAATAGGTGTCAGACAGTAAATTAGTGAAAAAGTATTAAAATTTAAGTACCTAGTAACTAAAATATAAAATTGAATTTTTAAATTGTATAGAATTGTGATAAATTGAAAAAACCGGCACCGAAACCCTTAAGTATAAACTATAAAGTATATGAAGGTAGACAGTTAACAGTGTTGCAACACTCTAACTTGATAAAACACACTCAAGAGGAGTGGAAATTTGTAAACGAAGAGAAGGTATACTTGTTAATCTATTACTAGGGAACACTGAGGGCCAAAAATTATAAGAATTTATACAAAACAACAAGTATAAAAGAATTTAATTTGATAGACAAAAATATAGGTATGCTAGAGGGTGTTCATTGAAATTGTAAAAAATCAACTTACCAAAATTTAAATTGATTTGGAAATTATTATTATTTGTTTACATAGGGAGGTGGGCCAAACGGCAATTTTCAAAAGCACAATTATAGGCTAATATTAAAACAAGATAACAATTGTTAATAATTTATTATCATGGTAAATACTGTTAATTTAAGAAAACACAATTAATATTTACAACAACAAAAAGCGTGATGCAACCTTAAATTCAAAAGTTGACTGTAGGTTCCTTTTATTTCATATTAATTAAGTTACCAACTTGATTATAAAGCAGTGGTTACATCTATTGGGTCATAATTTGTAGTTTTTGTACAATGTGGGGCATTTTTCTCAAATTTTAGTTTAGAGCAAATGTTAAACCCAAGTTTAAAAACAAATTTAATTTATTTAAAATCTAACTTTAGATTTATAATACTAAAATATATGCTTAAAATGTAAATGTAAACTATTGTTCAATGATTATGTAGATTTTAAGGCATTTTTGTACTTTTTTAGGGTATTTTTGCATTTTTTTTAGTGCATTTTTGGGTATTTTTTAGGACATCAACATCCTAACTCTAGTAATTAGGTACAAAGGTTACTTACAAGCTGCATTCTTCTTGAATTTCCACATTTCCTTCATGAACAATAGTTCTATTAAATGTTATATGAGCACAATGTCTCATGAAAAATAACCAATAGAGGTGACCAGATTAAAATTATGTGCAAAATTGTTGTATAATATTGTATTGAGTTTAGATCTAATAAATATACTTAAATAATGTTTTATATAATGATCATAGTATCATAAATACTAGTTTGTATGACAAATATTGACAACCTTAATAGTTAGAATAGTCATCAAGTGATCCATAATGAAGTGCAGATACAATACATTTAAAGAATTACTAAGTAAAATCTATGATTTACCATGACGGCAGTGTTACTAGTAATATATAGTATCATTGTCAATAAAATATTGAAAAATTGATGACGTGATTAAAAAGTTACCTATATGTGTTACAAATAACTGTATAATTAGTATTACTTGTATCTTATGTTAAGTAAATGATTTCAAGCAATATTTTGTATTACCATTAATGAGGCATGATACTATGTCATACTGCATTTTTACCAGTTTTGATTATTTTAACTATAATTTATTGGTTAAAACTTTGATTAGATAGATTGTAAATAAAAAATAAACCAGATCCTATTTTACCTTATGACATATTACTACAATACTTACATTTAAAATGATTTAATAGTGGACTAAACAAGGTTATAAAAATGCAAAACATAAATGATATTATATGTTATACATACAATAATTAATATAGCATATTATAAAAAGCATTTTTTTTTTTATGTACAAAATTGTCAATTGGCTATTTATTATTTCCATAATTTGAGTTGAAACAAAATATGCATGCTTCTAATATAAAACATAATAGTGTATAATATAAATAAAATCTTTAAAAAATATATACTATTTATTTGGTTTAGGCAACTTAAATCAAATGGAAAGATAAACTTGTATTGGGAATATAATACATGTTTAATAATATTGTATTATTTAAGTTCATTCAAATATAATTTTTTAACTAAGCAATTAGACATAAAAGAAATCAAAAATATAAAAACTGAACAAAATGGGTTTTTTTGATTAACGGATTAAATAAATAAAATAGTAGTATGATAAGAAACTAAACATGTATTCGTAAAATGCATTTTGGAAAATATTTTAAAATTCTTATAGATGAGTTTGAATATAAAAAGGAAGAAACTTAATTACATTTAAAGGTTCAAAAATATAAGTATTTAATCTTGAATCAAAATCCATGAAAAAACAGATATTTCTTGATTCAAATTGTTGAGCTTCTATAATATAATACCTTGTGTTAATTTTTAAAAAATGTTAAATAAGTGTTTTAAAATAGTTTTCTTTTGTAGAAGTATTAAACAAGAACTGAATTAGTACATAACAATTAATCAAAGTAGTGTATTATATATAGTACAGAGTATTGTTTATATTGTAAATGATTATAAGGTCATATGCATATCACAATAACTAGTAAATAAGATGATCATAATTTATTTAAAAAGAAAATCCAAATTGTATCACAATGATAAGATAATATAAAATATAAATTAATTTTAGAAGCTTAAATACAATAATAAAATGTTCCACTAACCAAAAGCTAGTTTCATGCAAGTTGTCATATCAAATTAAATAACTAAATAATAACATGAAACATATTTAATGCACATGCGCAAATTAAATGTTAAGAGCTGTTAATTATAAAAATAAAACGTAATAATTTCATACAAGTATTACAATGACTTTTTTTTTACACACCTCCAGAAACAATTTTTTCTAGTTTATAAGTTGGAAAACCTGCACAATCCTTAGCAATATAAATGCCATATTCTGTGAGATCCTGAATAGCTGGTTTGACCACACGCATATTGTGCATCACGTTACTGGTGTCAACAGCGTAATAACCTATTAAAAATATATATTAATGTAATAAATTTCAAAAAAATGTTACATCCATAATAATAATATAATAATGATATAAGTAATTTACTAAAGCATATTCATTTATCTTGTATTTGTTAAATCAATGATTCAGTGCTAATGTAAAATGTAAATTGAATTAATTGATTTAAATCTCGCTCATTAAATTAATATTTAGGATTCACAATGTATACTTTTTTAAACAGCACATTCATAATAATACATGGGTGAGCATATAAATTAAGTATAATTAAATGCTGTTATTCAATTTTAAGTCCATATAAAAATTTTGAAAAAACAATTAACAATATCATAAATTATATTTTATGTAATCATCAGTCATTATACCACCAATACAAAATAATAATCCACAGCAAAACCTATAACACATCAGTATTATTAACTCAAATCCATTGTATACTTATCCTCTTCATTACCACAATACTCCTCACAAAAATCAACAGTACTATGTTAATAAATAATGATTGATAGTCCTAATTACTAATTCAATACCCTCAAATGTGGATATGGTCTAGTAACAGAATATTGCAACACAAACACAAATTATACTACTATTCTAGCCTTCAACAGAAATAAATAAACAAGCACTGTTTACCAGAATATACTTATCAGCAAATAAAATTATTCATACACTAGAGGTATACAGTTTATTGTTACAATCGCCTTAATGGCCTAATGGTGTTCCATTATTATACAATATATTATATATTCAACATGGAGGTGATTTTTAACACATACTAAACATTCATAGTAATAGTCATTATAATATTCTATCCAGATTTAACCACAAATACTCAAGCAGCTGAACATTTATACACACAATTCAAAATTTACTTGCAACTGAAAGATAAAAATAATCAAAACCGTTAATTTATACTTGAATTAAAAAGAGTGACCACAAATCAAATACAATGATTATTGGCCAAAGCCAAATCAAATGTCAACTGAAAATATTTATGAATTCTCTAAACAAAATAATATGGACACAGGATAATAATGATAACACACACAAAATATTATGGTACTTTTCTGTTATCCCTACTACCACTCGATGCCGCGACCTACCTTGACCACTCAATTCTGTTATCTCGACTACTTAAGTAATATCCAGATAGTTCTATATTTTAATACATAAAACACATGAATTGCCATTTACATAATAATGTATATTAGTATGTCCTCAAAATTATCACAAAACGTCAAGTTACATTCTAAAATTATCACAGCAGTTGAAAGTCTATTCTATAAATTATAACATTAAACATAAATTCATCAAGATATTAAATATTACATATAAAAATAAAAAATCACGGTTACAGAAGTCTAAAATTCTATTTTTGCATTCGTGGTGCCCCGAAAGTAAAATTCAATCGCATCTTTTTCACTGTTTGGTTAATTCCACAAATTCATAATTATTTTAAAATGAATAAATACAATGACGGAAATACAACAACTGTCAGGAATAGGTAATCGAGCGAGTTGTGGTCACAGCATCGGCGTGGTAGTCGAGATAACAGAATGGAGACTCGAGGTAGTAGGGATAACAGAAAAGTACCAATATTATATACAACACTACACCAAAAAATAAAATAAATATAAAAAACCATTATAAGACCATTAATAATTATAAATTTTGTGACAGAAATCAGAATACAAATAAGTATTGGGTAATTCCAATAAAATAAGAACAATCATAGTATACCTATGCCTAAGACTAATACCTGTGGACCTACATATTCTTACATTAAGATCTGACAATATCAACTGTCAATTAACTTGCAAAGTTTCACTACAAAAGATTTCATTTCCATCTGACATCAATAAAATCGAGTTATTTTTCAAAATAAATATTATTGCAAATCATAATTTAATGCTTTTTAACCATTTTTGTAGTTTTAATTATTAATATTTTAACTAAAAATACTAGAATGTAAATAATGTGAACATTTGTATGTAAATATGTACCCTAATAAATTTAAGACTATATCCAAAACTTGAAGTAACCAAAAACATATTAAACAATTTTGACACTTCTAATAATTTAATTGATTTAGAGTTTATAAATACTTACCACTTGACATTTTAAACAATAAATCGTACAAGGATTTTGGTGGCAATACTGCACTGCGGTTCAATGGCATAATGAAACAACGCTTTCCGTCAATATCGACAATACCAGTGACATTCTGAAATAAAATTAATTGATAATAAATATTAAAATACTTAAATTTGTTTTAATTATTATTACCGAGCTGAAATCATGAATGAAACGAGCAGAATTAGCAAGTGGTAGAATGGGAATAATTTTTTCATAACTATCTTCCTTGAGATCAAGTTCAAAATCTTCTTTAAATTCAGATATAACATCTTCTGGGTTCATCATCTGGTTGTTCATTTGTTCCATATTCAGAGCAAAATTCTATAATGTAAAAATAACATTCAATAAAATATTTGATTTATGTAGTTAATTGAACTATAAATTACAATTTGATCACAAACAATTTTTATACAAATAAAAATTGTTAAAAATGTTAAGCATATAAGTTGTAAGAGTACATTGAAAAAAAGTTTATTTATTAGGTATGAAAATAGTAATACTTTATAAGGGTTGAAGCAGAAAGACTAAGATCTAATTATCAAAAATTTTTTTTTACCTCAAGTTTCTTGAATTCCATATCATTTTTTAATTGGCTCATTTCGTAATCATTGCTTATATCTTGAATAGGAAGAGATAACTTATCATTTAAAGCAATAGTGCCAGTGCCATAGAAAGCATCATTCTATACCAAAAATAATAAAACAAAAATACTTTACTTATTAATATAATAATATACAATCACAAAATGACCTAATTTATTCTTAAAAAATATGCATTAAAAAAAGGGTGGGAAAGTAGGTATGTCAGCCTATATAACTAAGTACTATGATATTATGATATATAGTATGATATTATAGGTATCAAAGTAGTCAGCCAAAACTCTTAACTTTAAACTCTTGTACAACAATATTGTAACTATATATTTTGATATTATTTAATTGTTATATGAACAAGTTACAAGGAACATTAATACATTTTCAATTTTATGACCAAGCAAAAAATTATTATCAACATTTATAGAAAAAAGTTTTAAATTTTAAATGTAGCTCAAAAAGAGTCAATATAATATTTTGAAAATTTTATGTTGTATGGGAAATAAACATTGGTAAAAATTTATAGCATCGACCTATTTTTTTTTTTAGTTTCTATAAAAAACAAAATCAATTTTGTCGTGACTGGTTTTGAATAAGTTTGATATTATTAATTGAAAAAGCAAATTTATATAATGAACATAATAACATACAAAGACATTTTTTTTATTTAATTTCAAAATGTTTAAATCAATACTAATCTCTTACAAGTTTTAGTAAAATATGTTGGCAATATAATATATTAATTAATGCAAAATATTTTACAACAAAACGGCAAATTTATTGAAAATTAATTGATCATTACTTATGATCTTAAACTATAATTTTTTTTTTTTAATCTAATAAAAAACACAGAAGCAACTCCATTTTATTAAGAGATTAGAGATTTTAGGGTACATTAAAAGTAATTTAAATTTGGAAGAATATGCCCTAAACTATTATTACACTTTTAGGTATAATTTGATTCACTTATAGATTTACATTTGATCGTGTAAATAGTGATATAAAAATGTATAGTTTCTTAAATTTTTTGTATTATGCCATTATTTTATTAATTTGTACACCCTGTATCTTACATTTATGCACAATTGTTATGCACAATTTTATGCACAATTGTTGAACATTGTATAACACCATGTGTATTAAACTACATAGGTACATACAGTTTAATTAATCTTTGTGTTATACTAATTTTAAATGTTAAATGGGTAGATACAAAACAATCAAAATATCTTTTGTTGCAAGATTATACAAATAAGATTAACACAAATCATTGCTCATGCAGAAGCAAGTGTACTAACATTTATCAATGATAAAAATAAAGGAAGAATGAACTTAATTATCAGTAAATGTTTATTTAGGTAAGTAATATTATAACTTCAACTTAACAAGAAATCAGAAAATTAACAAAATATTAGATTAATGGTAGTTAACTAAATTAATATTAATAAATTAGAACCAATGGCTAATGATATAATAAATAACAATATTAACAAACATAAATTATGAAAATTGTTGTTCGTATAAAATTGAATTGTTTTGAATAATGATTCTATATAGCTTATACTCATAATACAAATTGGTAGGTGTGTATTATACAAATTAAAATCATAATATTAATGTCAAAAATATAAAACAACCAATGACTTCATCAAAAAGTTTATTGTCAGCAATTTAACAGAAAATTGTAAATAATTCTTACATACACCCACTCAAAAATCAATATGCAAACATATAGTTAAAGTTGCCTGTTACCTATTGACTATAGGCCACCAACTGTTGTACAGCTGTGTAAACATTACAAATTACACAGTGAATTATTGAAATATTTTTCCCTTATATAAATTTTTTTTATAATATAATGGAAACTATTCACACAATAATACGGTATATAATAATTTTAATATTCAAAAAAGTATCAATTTTTTGGGGGAGGTATCGTTTAGAATGATCAAATTATACTTTTTATTTTTAAAATTCCAAAAATTCAAGTGTTTTTAGAAAATATGGCAACAATTTTACTAAGACATTTTACATCTTAGTAATGAATCTCAAGAAATAAAAAACAAAAATATATTTTTTTAATTAAAATTTGCGTAAAATAAATTTGTGCTACAAATCTGTTAAATATTTAAAAATTACACTTAGGTTGGAAAATTTTTTAATAAAAATAGATCAAATATAACAACATTTTTGCCAACTCAATATTTTATACTCTTTATGTTTCATAGTATCTAGTATGAATGTTACATTTTAAACAAAAAATATTCATACGAAACAATAGTTTACACAACAAACTTAAAAATAAAGCAGTAAAAACTATAACTCAGATTATTTTATTAATTTGTAGGTACCTATGTTAAATATTATCATTTTTACTTAAAATATAGTTGTTTTTTTCTGCATGAACTATATAAGGTATATCAACACTCAAGATTAAAATATTAAAGTTATAAAGGACTTCATACATTTTTATAACATGTAAGTAGATAATATGAACCTAAGCATGCCATAAAAAATAGTGTAAAATGTATGTTTTTGAACCAAAAAATTAGTTTTTTAATAATATGGATGAATAAATATGTATCAAATATATTATATATCATAGAGCCATAGAAGAACTGACATATTATACATATATTTACATAATATACTAAAATATATCTTTTAATAAATATAAGAAATCATTATTTACTGTAATTAAGATGTTACCTCATCATTGAAAGCATTTCCAATAGCTCTATAAATATGTTCCCCATAGAGCATCATGAATGTTATTACTAATGACATCAGCAATACATAAATTAATGCCCACATAGAATAAACACGATCATTAATGACTCTGAGCACCAAAAATTTAGATCTGACAGGGCGGTTATGTGCACCATTTCCTGATTCCAGGTCTTTTTCCTGAAAGAAACCAAAAATTATTTTAATACCTCATTTAAAAAAATATCAAATGTTTATTAACTGCATAATTTATGTATCTTATACTTCTAAAACAAAATGTATGTATTTTTTTTTAAATAAAATGTTAGTAAGTTCTTAACTTAAGACATAACAAATAAATAAAACCTTTAAGTAAGTGCCCAGCTAATTATAAAATAAGAAATAAAAATAGTTTTTTATACTACATATTATAATATGTATTACAAATTGTTTAAGAAACGTTGAAAGAGGAATATAACATTTTTAAAACATCTGATCACTTAAATTTGTAAATCTGAAAGCTTATATTATGTCAAAAAAAAAAAAAATGTTAATATCTATATAATAATACAACTAGGTAGGTACCTAACTCTATTTAAAAATTCTAAGAATAAGATAACTAGTTTTTTGTTTAATATAAAACAAAAATATTTATTTTTTATAATAATTACTTAAACAACAAATTTTTGTTAGCTATTTAAAATTTTTGAAAAAATGGCAGAACAACAATATTAATTGAAAATAGCTATTGAAAGATATAGTTACAATTTATCTTACAATCACATTTTATGTATTTTTAATTGCCTAATATTACCAAAGTATTATCACTATCTAGTATTAATGTACCAATTTTAATAATTTTAACAAATTAATAGTAAATAGAAGTCTTACATTTTAAATGAATACGATGATGTAATAGTATATCAGAACAAAAATTAGCTATATGCAATAACAAAAATAGTTGTCAGGAAACGGGAAAACAATTAATGTCAATTTTAAAATGTATTATAAAATCCCATACTTAAGTATAGGGTAGTTACTGAACATTATAAGAACTTACAGTAAATATAAATATTAAAACTTATAAGCAGAAAAAAAGACTAATAGTCTCTCCAGAGGAAGTGCCAATCAAAAAATTCAACTACTACTAAACTATAGAGAACCTCTTTTAAATAGTTAAGAATCTGAGGAAAATGAAGAAATTATAAAAAAAATACAGTAAAAAGTCAAATAAATATTTTTTCAATTAGTATTTGTTATTGTAGAGCTGGTATTTCACTTGTTCATTATCAGTCGATCAACAAATACTTTCATTTGATGAGAACCAACTTTTTGTCAATTGAGACTTTTTAATATTATAAATGTATAAAATGTTAGTTTATTAAGTATTAAACTATCTTTAAGGATTGAATTACATTTAAATTTCTAAAAAAATTTCTATACATAAATTGTAAACAAAAAATATGAGCAAAATATGTAAATTCTTACCCTGTTCTAAATAGATTTGTGGTATAATACAGGGTGTTTTTACAAACTGTGCCTTTGTTTCAGTTTTAATTAAAATTTGTACTTGGATATTTTTAATGATAACCCACAGACAACATAAGGCAGTGCCTTTCATCCTTTTTGGAAATATAGCACATTTTATTTTTTACAAAATTGTCAAGTTTGTTCAAATTATCAAGTCTCACTAACATATTATATAGTTCAGTTATACTACAGATATAATAAGGTATCTACTCGGGTATCAATATAAAAAATATCTCCCAAACAGTTTTACACAACTATACTAGTAAATAACATAGTACACACATGTGAAACTCCAAACAGAATATTCAATAGAAATTCCAAATATGCATTTCTCTAGTTATCATCTCATGTTTACTTGGACTCACAACTCACAATAATTATTCTTGTTCAAAGTTAAGCATGCATGATTTTATGATTCAATGACTTCCAGATTTAAAAATATTCAACAGTTCATGGCATACTATAAGGGTGTGGAGCACACCGGTTGAAAACAACTGGTATAAGGAGTACCCAAAACAGGCTATTGTTTAAAAAAATTGATTTGAAAAATATATGTACTACCTACTAGGTACCTACCTATCTAATAATAATATTAAAATTAAAAAATCAATGATGTAAGTCTGGTATTTTTTTGTATCATATTCAATCAAATGGGTTCATATAAAAATAACTTGTATGCAATAAAATTTGTTCTACTTAGGTAAAATTCTAGGAATAAATTCCATAGAAAGAATCAGCCTAGAATTTCACATTTTAATTAAGATATTATCGGAATTATTATTCAACCAAAACGTAAGAGGTAGAAGGTACTATTAAAATACAAGTAATAATAATTGAATATAATTTTGTTTTGTAGATCATTGTTATATTTTCAACACCATAAAAATAAATATTCAATTAAAATACAAAAAAATTCAATATAAAAATAAATAGGTAATATAATAGAAAACATAATTGAATTTCCTTTGACCTTCACTAAGGGTTCCGTATTAACTAAATTAATAGTTAATACCCACATGAAATACAACTAGTGTTGTTACCTATTTTATGTATCATTGTAATATTTTTAATAACAAAATATAATAAATTATGAAGTTTAGAAAAGCAATATAATTAATTAAATTATTTTATGATAAACCAACATCAACTAAGGTTTTTATTAATAAGCACTAGTATTGTTGAAAAATACTAATATGAAATGAATGCCCACATATTTTAATTGACATTCCCCAATGAATATCCCCAACGTAAAAATATGCTGGTACCTAACATGACAGATACAACACGCATGCAAAATACAGACAATTTTAAAATATTGAGAAATATACAGCACTAATGCATTATTTTAATGTTGCAATGTCTAAGGAAGAGTCAAAGCTTTATCACAGATCAAAGTCTGCAGACGCACAAGTAATACATTTAGTTGCATAACATTATCGAAAACAAAAGATTCATTGTGAAAAGCCAGAAAACAATGAGCTCCCTAATGAAAGCATTATACAATGCAAATAGATTACCACTTGTTAGGTGTGTAATAATTTGGGCTTGAGCCTAAAAACATTGCATTGATAGCGAGTACATATTATAAAAAATAAACAAAAATTCACAACCAAGCACATTATCGTTTACATTAAGATAGGAATTGGATGACATTGAAACTAAACAACAATAATTTATGAATAATATATAGCAAGAATGTTATTGTAAAAGTCACACAGACGATGACTAAACGAAAATTAAATAACGCAGACTTTGATGACGTATTCAAAAATGTTTTTAAACGATAAACAATATAAATATTATGTCTATGTATGTATTATAAGTTGGAACAGTCTAATTCACATCGTTTCGGAACAGAAATAAATATCGTGGAAATAACACTGTTATTCTAATTATAGAAATGCGCCGAAAACAATAACAACGATTATTATTATAATCGAAACATTCGAAACTCGAAAGCTTGTTTTACAACTTCACAAGGTAGACGAGCGCTACTGAGTCACCAGACCAGATGTACGTGACATGTACGTCGCAAAACCGCGATTCTGTTGTTGTTGAATGTGGGATAATCGCACGAACGCGACAATATTGGTTGTCCCCGAACGAAAAATATAGTAAATTGTGATGATACGGTATAAGAATATGAACAACAATAATAGTTACTAATAAAGGGAATTAAGGCCACCGATATAATATTACCTATTAATAATACAACGTCTTGTATTAATATTATTATATCGATGATTAAAATTTATAACACGGCCGACAGTGTCGTCAGCGAAACGAAAGAACAACGCATAACAGGTAGGTAGGCGTAAAAAACAAATCGTAAAAACCCGGAAAAATGGAAAAATCATGGATAATATTGCGAATTGAATCTAGGTTCCGTGAGACGTGTGCGGAAACGACGCGAAAAAAAAAACACGCAACGCAAATCTGTCGACAACGGTGACTTACCTGTGCAGATGGGTCGATCTCGATGTTGGTGACTAGCGGCACGTTGTCCGACTTCTTCTCGGCCGTCGGCATAGTGATGACGGTCATTTTGGAGGACGATTAATTAACTTTTGTATATAATTAATAATATGATAAAATAATAATACGATTGTATTTGACTGGAAGCGCGATGGACTGTGGCGCGAGACAGAGAGACACTGACGGAACGCGCAACGGGACGTGGACGACTGAACGATCGACGACTACAAAGGTTAAACACCGTCTGACGGCGACGCCGCGCCGCTGCACTCGTTAGTCGCTATAGTCGCTGCAGTGTTGCTCCGTGTGTGTGTGTGTGTCGATGTGTGAGAGTGTGTGTGTGTCGCGCGCACTGCGTGTGCGTGTGCGTGCGCGCGCTTCGCAGGTGGGTTAGGCGGTGCAGTAGAGCGATGTTGTAGCGGCGGCGCACTCATTTCCCACCCGGCGACTCGCCGTCGGTTTGTTATACGATATCAGTGCCGCGGTCGCGGTGTCGCCGGGGGATCGACGATCGTGGTGGGTGGGCGCGCGGCAAGCGGTCCGCCCGCCACCGCCCGTCGTGAACCGTACCCGTGGACTGGGTAAACGCGGAAATTTATTAACGTTTATACCTACGTGTAGGTAGAGAGGTATAAATGTACAATATAATATTATTATTGTAATATTGTTATTATTATTATTATTATTATTATTATTATTATTATTATTATTATTATTATTATTATCATCATTTATCGTCACAGCGAACTACGCAGTAGGTAGGTATATGGTTATATACGTACTACAATATAATATATCGTTCACGCATGCAAGTACCTATATATATGTATACAACCAGTGCAAAACGACAATGTGACAAGCCGGTCGGAGAGGCGGTGCCCGACGGTTTATACACAATATACATTTTACAATACCTACGTATATATCGTATCGCTGTGGTAGGTATATGATATTATGCATATTACGCGACGCTCGCGTTATTGGTACGTGACAAATCGAACAAAGCGGCCTAATGTTGATCAAATAGAACACTGCAATGTAATATTATTATTGTACGTATTCGTCGTATATTGTGCATTATCGCAGTGTTGCAGTAGTCACTAGTCGCAAACATGGACGCAATTTGGCACCGTTTGCATGCAACAACGATGGTGGGAACAAAGAATATTCAGATAACATTATATTGTATACTGTATAGTTTCGTTCGGTTAATGCACACAGCACCTAATGCACCGTAGTAAAATAATAGCAGCGGGCTTGAGTAGCTCAAGTCCCCCAAAACTATTGAAAGACCCTCAACAGTAATAAATCAAATAAATATTTATAAATTAAAGTAGATAGGTAGTTTAAACAACTATATACAACAATGGTCTATGGGGCAGACCGGACTGAGAAAAAAAATAGTATACCACATTTAAATTGTATACATAATACTAATATAATTTACTGGTCATCATGATTCTTTATTATTTACTACATTCGTAAACAAAAAAATGTAGAAAAAAAAATTGAATTATTTATTATACATTTACTATTATCAACAAATTACTATTCCTTTATCGTATTTAATATGAGGTACCTATTTCGTAAAAGCTGTTTGATTGATTCATTAATCGCTATCTGATCTTTGACTTTAAACTAGATTCTAGAAGACCATCTTCTATAAAATTTTGTTTGACTTTTTAGATTATTTCCCAATTTTATTTTTTAAAAATGATCAATAAAAAGTTAAGGCTATCTAGTAACTTGGTACTTAATGTACAGTACCCAGTATATCTACAATAAGAGCGATTAAAACACACGTTATAACTATCTGACTTTTTTTCGAATATCTCTTTTTAATAATATTAGGAGACTAGGAGAGGTTCAGAAGTTTATCTACGACATTACAATGTAGCCAATTGGGTATGTATTGTATGCGATGAATACCTATCGTCTGCCAATTTTATTGCCTTAGGGCTTAGATAATAAATACACCTCCACAACGGTCACTCGTCAGCATCCCGGTTCTTTATTCATCATTAGTCATTGAGGTCATTCGAATGTTAATATTAATTATTATTATGCGATTTATATTACACAATATTTTTATTACATGTTAGGTATGTATTACATAAAATTAAGTCCATAAACAATTTGATAATAAATATTGTAGTTGTATACAATTATTATAAACTATATAATTTAAATTGTTTGATAAAAAAATATAATATGTATTAATGAAACATAGCTAACATAAAAACCTTCCCTTTAAAACTACAAATTTTCCTAACAATCAAACACATATAAATACTAATAGATAAAATAACAAAACTACTAAAAAAATTTACATAACTCATGGCAGTTAAATACTATTAAATATGTACATAGACACATAGTATGTATAGAATATTATACCTACATATTATTAATTATTTATAATAAAAATTATTTTTTATTGGATTGTTCAACCAGCAATTCATCAGGAGCAATTGAATCGTTATTGTTGATCGAGAGTATACCAAAGCTAGACCATTAAGTCTTCTCTATTAAAATTAGTCACAACATTAAATTAAATTGTTTATAATTTATAATCATTGAATTTCAACTTCAAAACTTTTTGTTATTTACCGACTGTTGATATTTTGATAGAAAAAATTGCACCTAATTAATATCAGGAACCCAAATTTTGCTCAAAATTTCTTCTATTTCACTTTGTTTTAACAATTTATTTGTGTTATGTGCAATGTCAAAAATATTTTAACTGGAAGATGTACAAGTACAATTAATATCTGTAGTCAAATATGGAAGATGTGAACTGAGTGATAGATGTATCAGATGCTGAGATACGGATAAAGGTGAGGACAATGGGAAACTAGAGGAACTATTGGATTTGGATTCAACGAATTCATAACTGAGGGTAGTTTCGAAAAAAAATTGAATTTTCTGTTTTTTTTCAGCCATGACTACTATTTATTTTACGTTCAAAATATAAAATATATCGAATGACAATGATAATGATATGATATTAATAATGAAATAATTGTTACCTATTTAGTAAACCACTATATTTTGCTCTTCTCTAAAACATGTTGCAGTGTTAAGTTTTAACGTAATGCAAAATTATAAATTACTATAACAATGTAAATTATATTTATTTTCGATTCCGATAATAGTTGACAGTATTAATAAACATTCCACAAATTAATGTTATTACTTTATTAGCAGAAAGAAAAGAGTTTGGTTTAAAAATAAAATTTAATTTAAATGAATTATGATTTATGACTACATCTAAAAATATTTATAAATAATAAATAATAAAATAATTTTATAAATTTTTCAAAAAAATGTAGGTATTAATAATACATTTATGAAACCGGCCCCATTACCAATTTATAATAGCCATCGGGTTTTGAACGGTAACCGGGTGGGTCGGTCCAACACTGGCTATAATATAATCGAACGTGTCCTGACTGACTAGCTGACTGATTTACGTAGACCTTAAACAATAATATAAATGAGACTTGAACTGTTCACGGTACCTTCGTACCTCCATATAAGTGTGAACTAAGAAAGCATTTTCCGAAATACACATTCTATAAAATGGTGCTTGAACAAGTATTTTGATTTCTGAAATGAAAATTTTTCAGTTTTGAACTCCATTACACCAAATATTAAATAACGAATTTAAATCATATAGAGTTAGCATAATTATAACGTGCAACGAAGTGCACCGGGTCTTCTAGTATAATATAAAGATACGTGCCATATGGCTTATATGGGGGTTGTTAGGCCACATAGTTTTATCAACAATTTATGGAGTCACTGTATTTTTTGTGGGTGAGAGAAAGAATACTTATTATTATTAATTATATCATATTATTATCTATGCTCTTGGAACGTTTATCTTTCTATCATATTTATGGTGTATTTAAATTGATAAAAATGGCACCCTGATTTTGTTGAATAGGCTAGTCATTATTTTATTATTTATGGTTCGAATAGTGATAAGAACAGTAGAATCAGTAGATAAAGTCGATATGTACCTAGTACCTACTATATACCTACTCCATTAAATAATGAGGCCTCACAATGTTAATAGTCACGAACTAGCATTGGCCTCTGGGTCCTGGGTCATAAAGGTTTTATTTCGAGCTTGACTATATAATATGGTTTATATCGCATGATTTATATGTTTATATCAGGGATCCAAATTAACTCAAGACTCAAGCCCTCCCGTACTCAAGTTTGAATCGTTAATTGTGCCTAGCTATATGCACTATATTTACGTATTGGCGCAAATAGGGGGGGGGGACTTAATTCCCCCCAAATTTTGATCAAGTCCCCCCAGTTAAAAATCTAGTAATTAGTACTATAATTTTACTTATATTATAGCCTATGGGGAGGGGGAGCTTGAGTCCCCCAAAAAATTTAGTCAATTTGCGCCTATGTATATACGGTAGGTAGGTTTCAGGTACACACGTGTGTCGTATAATTATATACTGAAAATTGTAATTAATAGGTATTATTTGTATGCATGTTTACAGTCGTGATCAAGACACGACCCCGGCTCAATGAGTTTCTTGGTTGCAATTTAGGGCGGGTGAATTTATTGGAGTACCTATAGAACTCCCCAGTTACTACTAAATATAAGGTATCTATAACCTTTCCCTAATAGCATTGGTAAATTAAATTGTCTAAAAATAATATTATATTAATAAATATTGTAATTTGGTATTTAGGGAAAAAGCTTCGTATTAAATAATTATTAAGTTAGTTAAGCTAAATACCAATCTAATTATCATACATTGTCAAGCTTATATAAACGTCACTGAGAAAGATAATATATTCTGGAGCGCGGGACTCCCCATTCTCTCGATCATAATAAAATCGAACCATCCAGATTCCCTCCACCTCCCCCCTCGAAGTCACCTTATTGTATTACCACGATTATAAATATATAACTTATATTCCCAATGATTTAAAAAAATATATAAAATTTAACACTAAATTGAAATCATGTAGAACACCTTAGATAAATCATTATTTTTTTTTTTAAAAAGCGGGTAAGTAGATGTTGCTCTGCTGTACAGATGTACAGTTACAGTAGGTTATAATAGTGGGTCACTGTAAAAGATTGTGTTAAATTTGAATTCA